CTCAGTTTTAACACAATATAGCAATGCCCAGATTAATCCAGTGGTCAGGTTTTTGGCACAAACACAAACTGGAAAATGAAAAAGATCTTAGGCCACTAAGCTTGAGGAAAAATGGCTCTTACATTGTTTTTTCATCTTTAGCCTCTCACCCAACTCAGGTCATGTAAAATTAGATAGAGATTAGAAGGCAGATACGTAGAGACCATCTGAAAGTAATGGCTAACAGGAAGCAAAGACAAAGTAAATAAATGCCTTGCAAAGTAAACAGAACTAAACAACACAGGAGTCAGGGGAGCACAGTCTTTAACTATTAAGGGGTGACCAGCCTAACGAGGGGGTGTGTTCAAACTCCTTATGAACACTTCCAAACCCTAACATGGTGCAGTCATTTTACCTGATAGAGTCAGTAATAAGTTATATTTAGTCTTCTTCCTTTAGGAACTCAAGGGTAAATGTCATCCTTTGAAAGGAAAATTCTCCCCCATCCAATGATATTTTTAAGTTGTCATAAATGAGGGGAAAAATTTTAGTTATTAGGAAAATAAACCACATAACCAGTTCTTAACTTTTAAAGTCTTGGTCCCTTTTCCCAGAAAAAAAAAGTCACATATTTACATGTGGACAAAATTTTCAATATAATTTCAGGACTTAATTTGATGCAAGCAAATTAAATTCAAGAACCGAGGGTGGGACAAGAAGAACCAAGCTGATACGCAGCACCAGTAGCACTATAACACCCAAAGTGTGTAGTCATCCCGGGGTTGAGACATGTTTCTAATACAAATGTGGGCAAACTTTAACTTGTCTCTGGATAATGGGGAGCTACAATTGTAGCTCAAAGCACCCACTGCAATTCTGTATGTTGTTCACTCGCCACCTTGTCACGGTCAACTATTTGGTGCATTTTGAATAAGGGTAATGGGTTGTTTTGCATGCAAATGTTTTGCATTTGCATTTTGTGTGGGTATTGGAGGTCGAGTAGGGGTTAGTATAGGACCTTGCTGTTCAGTGGAGGTTCACAGACCACAGCCTACCCCAGTGCATGTTAAACATGCAGAATCTTGAGGGCCACCAACTCTACCAAATTAGTATCCGCATTTTAACAAGATCTCCATACACACCTTAAAGTTGGAAAACACTTAAAACCTAAAGAAAACTCTAAGTTTAAAGAGAGAAATGGTAGCTATACAGTGGGCAAAGCTAGGATCAGTCCCTGAAATCTACCTGGAATATCCTTGTCCCAGATTATCCATTCAGAGATACCATTTTGTCCCTTATGAGTAAAGCCTATGACATCTTTTTTGCCCCTGATCAGCAGCCTTAATTTTCTAAAATAGGGTCCAGATCTAGGACTAACAACAGCAAAAAAAAAAGACACTCTAGCATGGTTGCCTTAACATGTACATATTAGGTCTTTTGTGTTTTACACATTGGCAAGATCTCACACTGGTGCAATTCTAATAAATGTGGTGTTATGGTTCCCTGCCCACAAAAGATTGGAAGCAGCACATTTATAGCAGGGCAAAGGGAAAGAAATAAAATATGGGGTTGGGGTGAAGTCTACAATAAGAATTGATAGTAGAAAGAATGGATTTGACATTTTCATGGTTATTTAGTTTTATAAATCTATTCACACCTCACAAACAGTAACTCAGATCTTACAGAACTAGTATTCAACTCTGGTTGCATATTAGAATCACCTGAGAAGTCCTTTTTTTTTTTTTCTATAAAAAGGTAATTCCCAAGCCTCAAGCTCAGAGATTCTGATCTAATTGGTCTGGGGTGGGATCCAGGCACAGGTGTTTTACTAAAGCTTCCCAGGTGAGTCCTGGTGGTTTACGGTCAGTCAGTATAGGGCCCAGGGCCTGGACACCTGAGTAGCCTCTAAGTAGGCTCTTTACAGCTTGTTGCAACCATTGACAATGATTGGTTCGGATGACCTTGGTTACCAGGATTTTCTTTTAAGAGGAAACTCCTATATATTAGGAGTGATTTTGACATAAATAAGATAGCCTAGGACTAAATGATACAGAAACACATATCTAAGTCCTGTGTCACTGTCACGGAAATCTAGAGGGCACTGGTGGGATGAGGCAGACACCCACCGTCTCTCTCTCTCTCCTGACCCTCCCTCCGTAGACCAAGGCTGAGCACGCCCACAAATCACCTGGGGTCTCGTTCCAATGCAGATTCTGACTCAGTAGGTCTGGGGAGGGCTCAAGATTCTGCAGTTCTCATGAGTTCCAGGTGATGCTATTGTAGCTGGTCCAGGGACCACACTTAGAGTAACAAGGCTCTAGGTCATCCCGATGGCCATGACTTACCCTTAACCCCTTCTGTGGAACCCACACACAAAGGATGGCTTCCTCATTCCTGAGGAGTGAATTCCACTGTGCTCAAAGCTGTAGGCTTTCCTGAACTAATGTCATGACTTTGTCTCTTCTCTTAACCATTCCCTACTCAATTAGGCAACTTTGCTGGAGGATAAGGCACTGTTGCATTAGAAATGGGCTTAGAGAGCATCTGGTTTGGCCCATTCATTACAAAAGTGTGGCACTGAGGCTGAGTTGTTAAAGGATTTGCCAAGTTCACAGGGGACAGTGGTAAAGTCAAAACTAAATCTAAATCAGGACATGGAAACATCAGTTGAGGATTCTGTCAAAATGATTTGTTTCCTGCACCTTTCTAGTGAAACATCCATTTGTTTATCTTCAGGGAACTTGCCGATTAAAAGAGACTCAGGAAGGAACATAAAATTCTAAAGCTAGGCTGACTAGTGTTACAGCTCTAAGATGGGGCAGATAGCTCCCCCGTCTCTGAGAACACACACTAGCTATTGTTTCCTCTCCTGTGGAGCGTCCATAAAAAAGCCTCAAGGCCTTCATAAGTTGCCCAATGAACTCCTCAGTCATCCTTATTTCATTTTCATTTTTTGGAACCCTTTCTCAATTTTCTAAATCCCACACAAGAATGATATATACTCTTGCTCAATAATAAGAAGCCCTCATGCAAAATTGAAATAAATTGTTCTCTCAAACAGGGGGAGAAAGGAATCATATTCCCGGAACAGTCAGCTTACGTAGCCAAATGAATCTGATTCCTGCTCCTTTGTTTGTTTCTTTGTGACCTCTTAGAAAAGCAGAGCAAGAGTGAATGAAATTGGCAAATTCAAGCCAAGGGTAGCTGTATGCCTACAGTCCCGGCTACTCAGGAGGCCGAGGATCACCTGAGCCCAAGAGTGTGAGGCCAGCCTGGGCAACATAGTGAGAAAAAAAATTAAAATAAAATCAAGTTTTTAATTAAAAAGAAATTGGCGAATTCAGTGGCATTCTGGGTCCCGGGGCCATCAATGTTTCTGGGTTAGGGTTAGGGGCCATATTGGCTCTGGGGTACCCCCTTCCCTGGCCACAAAAGGCTAACCCAACGGTACTGTTTAAACTGAACTTATTATCATTTCTGACCTCAAAGCTCTGTACTGGACTGAGACTTCCCCAACAGAGCTTATTACCAAGTCCGGTCCAGAGCTTTTTCATCTTGCTGTGTGGCTATCTAGGTCTGGAGTCAGGAGCTATCCATAGGGAAATCAGCCTGAAAGCTACAAGCTTGAATATTAAATAATAACACCACTAAGGGCTGCACTGGAAAAGAAGTTTGCTGGGCTTATGGCCCCTCACTCCACCCCGAACTTTGCTTGGCTTTTATCTTTTGTGTTCCTGGTAGATCCAATTATATCTCTATTACCTTAGGCTACTTCAGCACCTTCTTGGGAATTAGGCTGTCTGGATAGGCAGAGAGGCAGAGATACTCACCTGCAGAGTGGACCAGGTGTCCTCGTCTGATACTTCATTTCCCCTTTTGTGACATTTCAAAAGATCACAAATTATTTTCTTAGTGCCTAGTCATAGAGATGGGAAGGAACCAGAAAGTTAGGCACCAAACTGGTACCAGTGGTGATGTTTGAGCAACAAAGGGCGGAACTGGTTTTACATGTTTCTCATTGTGCTTTACTTTCCTAATTGTCTTAATGGGCATGCGTTATTGCAGAATAAAGTGAAATTGTTTTCCTTATTTGCTATAAATTAGAGAGAGATGGTTTTGATCATATAACCCTGGGTCTTTCAAATCCATTGATCTTGGGGTGGAGAGGTTTAAGTACTCATTTTGAACTATGCTTTCACTAATAAATTCAAAGCCTAGAGGGAAAAACCCATGTTTCCTCACCACCATGTTTCATAATAGCTATTAGAGGACCACAGCATCATCAGAGCCTGGTGTGTGGGAGAAGAAGGGGGAGCGTCAAGAGTTGCACTTTGCAAAGAAATTGATTCTGACACTCAAAAGCACAGGCTGAGGGTGATCCAGTGAACCTGGGAAAGCTCAGGCCTGATTGTGGCTCACACGGGTCTCCGGATCCCAGGAGATGTAGAGGAGGCCCAGGCTCTGGGTTGCTGGGCATTGACAGTGAGTCGGAGCAGAGGCCCTGAGGCCCGGTCAGGGGTGTGGCTTGAGCATCACACAGTGGCTGACTTGGACAGCAGGGTCCCTGCCTGCGGGGAGCGGAGGGGGGCAGCGCCCCCCAACAGAAGAAAGGACCAAGGCCACAGACGGGGCACCTCTCCAGCAGTGGGGCATGCAGGACGGAGGGCAAGGCTGCTGGGGGCTTGAGGACGCGGCGGGCCTGCTGAGGCCAGGTCTGCATTCCTAGAAGCTGCCAGAGTTCCAGACAGCAAGTCAGGCCTGAGTGCAGGGGGGACCTGGGACCCTGCTTGCAGCTCCGCCCACCCTGCCTTGCACCCCGCCCCTAGCCCGCCCCATCCTGCCTTGCGCCCCACCTCTAGCCCCGCCCCATCCTGCCTCGTGCCGCGCCCTCCTCCCGCCCCGCCGCTTGGGGGCGTCCACAATCTGTCGGGCTATAAAGCCTCGGGCCCCAGGCAGCCCACTCATCAGCAAGTGGCCTTGCGAGGCTGCGGCTCTTGCTTTTTTAGTCCGCTCCGAGCGCCATGGGCGAGCTCCGGCCGTGCGGGGCTCACACGACCTTGCACCCGGACCGCCTGTGGATCTGGGACAAGGCGGTGTATGTGGATGAGAACCAGCGCACCTGGCTGTCCATAATCATGGAGGTACAGCCCGCTTTGGGGCCGAGACGCGAGGGGCAGCAGGGGCCTTGCCCTCCCTGGCTGAGCCCTGGGAGCTGCAGACGTTCTAGGACAGGCAAGCCCGCGAGGAGCCCCTCCTGTCCGGTAGGGTGAGGGCGGTGGCAGGGAGGCTCAGAAGGCCTGATCTGCCCTGGGCGTTCCTACAGATGAAACCACTTTGAGCCAGGCTCTGAAGGATGAATAGGAGTTCTCCAGGCCAGGAAGGAGGGTGGGAAAACCACAAAGGCATGTTGGACAAAGTGTGGGACCTAGTGCTTCTGGAGTGCGTGACTATGATCATACGTAGAACAGGGCTCTTCTGGGCTATGTGCTAATCCATGAAATGGAAGTAATATCTCTAAAGTAAGTGATTGATACGTGTGGCTGGTTATCAGAGTCTCCTTAGGTGATTCTGGCTCCAGAAATACGTATTTTAAAAAGAACCCACAACAGATTATGATCAACCAAGTGCGGGAACCACTGCTTTAGAGTGTGGGTATTTTGTGCCTCTTCTATGCTCCGGAACAACAAATTAACAAGTAATATAGTAGCATAAAAGCTGGTATTGAATAAATGTTGACTTTGTTTTATGTGTGATGCCTTAAGATGGGACTTTAGTTAATGTAAACTTTTTTAAAAGACGAATAACTCTTTTATGAGTACTTTCTTGACTAAACCCAAGACTCAAAGAAACAGGCAAAAAATGTTGAAACTCTTTCCGTACATAAACTGAAAACAGTAAAAAGTTAAAATTAAAATGTATAATATTAGAACATTTATGTAATATAATAGCAAAGTCCAAAAAGTTATTTAATGTTAACGATGTCTGCATTTTATATATGAGGAAACTGAGGCACATAAAAATGTAAATTTGTCCAAGGTAGTACTGCTAATAGGTAATAGGGTTGGAATTACAGGCTCTTAATCACCATCTAAATTTGCATTTTTGACATTTAAATTTTTAAAACATACACATATACTTTTAAAAACCAAGTTAAATATTTACTTTGTTTAAGTCATGTATTTGAAGAAAATTTAGGTGAATATCTCTTTTAACTTCTGGTTGGTAAATATCTTCAACATGACACTGAAACTAAGAGCCAGACAGAGTATTTCCTCTAATCATGATAAATGCCTCATGAAAAATAACCCATCAGCAAACTTTGGGGCAGGTTTTACCTCACATAATCTAAAGGGCCAGTATTCTTAATATGTAAAGATTTATTTAAATCATCAAGAAACAGATAATGCAAACTAAAAATGGTTAAAGGATGTGGAAGACTATATACTAACACAGCAAGAATGGTGATTTTCACACTTATACCTTGCAGTATGATCTGAATCATTTTGTAATGGCGAGTTCTAATTTATTTCATAGACAGAAAATCTTTTTTAAAAGTGACTTCTACTTTGGAAAAATACTCATTGAACAAATGTGAGTGCCTAGTTTATATGCCAGGCGAGGTTCTAGGCTGGGGAGGTCTGCAGTGAATGGGATAAAATCCCCACTGCTTGTGAAGCTGCCATTCTGCTTGGGAGACAGACAACAAAACAATGAAGCTGGTGGCGAGTTTGTAGAACTGGGGTGAAAGGCAACAAGGAGTGGTGAGGAGGTCTTCAGCCAAGGTACTCCCCTCCCAGAGTCTTAATTTGCATTTGCTTTTCACATTTTAGCCCGTCATTGTATTTGTAATCCTTCTGAATCTCTTTGTTTGGGGCATGCCCCTTAGGTATATCATAGAGTTGGATTTTGCTGAGTTTTTTCCCCTTGAATTGGTGAATGAGCCCCATTTTCAGTTACTGATATGTTTGGTCTTTATTCTATCATGGTTTTATGTAGTATTTGTCTTTAATAGACATACATTTGAGCAGAGACCTGCCTAAAAGAAGGGAGTGAGCCCTGCGTAGATCTGGGCAGGAGGTTGCAGGCAGAGAGGACAGCAGGCTCAAGGGATTGCTGGAAGCAGACACGAGCGTGGCAGGTCCCAGAAACAGCAAGGAGCTGTGTGGCTGGAACAGGCTGGAGCATGAAGACCAAAACTGTGGGAGATGAGGGAGGCAGGGCCCCGGCCACATGGTTCTTTGTGGACTTTTGTGGGGCTGTGGGAAAGAATTCAAATCGTTCTGCCCACGATGGGAAGCCATACGAAGGCGTCGAGCAGGGAAGTGCCATGATTTGTAGACACTCGCTGTGACTGCAGTGCAGAGAACTGGTTGTGGGGACAAGACCGTCACAGTGGCAAGTCAGGAGGTTATTACAGTAGTCCGAGTGAGAGACGGTGTTGGAGGGCCAGTGGTGGAGATGGCGAAAAGAGGTCTGTCACCAGATTCAGGGGTCCAGGGACAGCTTATTTAAAAGAGAAAAATAGGACAAAACAAAATAAACAAATCAAAGAAATCCCATTACAGCTGAAAGAGGCACCAAATTGCATTGTTAGGAAGCTCACTGGCTCCAGGGCATGCCCAGCAACAAGCAGTTTGTTGGGGAAAAAGTATGCCTTTTGTGGCCCTGTCTGGGTGGCTAGACACGTGCAAGTGCTGGTAGTCCCGGCCCAGCCAGGGTCCCTGAGAGGAGTAGGCATGGCCTAAGGAACCGAGCTTCAGGGCACAGTGATGGCAGGCATCTCACGCTCTGGACGTGGGCCGGGTGGGTGCCAGGAAGGACTCTGGTTTTCTGTGCCCGGAGGAGGCCAGACGAGCTGGGCCTGAAGGTATGCCTGATCTGTCTTCTCTTCAGACCGAGAGTGGGCTCCAAGTGCTCCTGCGTCAGGAAGATGTCCCCCTGGGGGAGACTCTGCGCCCCAGCCAGCTGCTCCCCAGCCTGCTGCCTTTGATGTGGCAGCTCTACCCCGAGAAAAGATACCGAGGCTCAGACTCCAGTTTCTGGCGCATAGTGTACCACGTCAAGGCGAGTGTGTTTCCCCCGGAGCTGATCTTGGGGGGCCTGCTTCCCCTCCCCTCGTCTGGCCTCAGCGGTGGATCTATTCCCTCCATCTCTGCACCAAACGCTAAAAAAATGGGGAGAATTTACCACTGTACATCTTTAAAGGACTGGGTTAGAGAGAAGTTAGATCCTCGGAGGTGTCTCACAGCAGCCCCCTGGGCAGCAGGAAGCCCTCTTTGGTGGGCAGGCAAGGGTAGAGGTGGCGGGAGCAGGGGCGGTCTCCCAGGGCCCCTGAAGTGCCCACACGCAGCTTCCCCCCTGCTGCTCCAGGCTCGTGGAAGTGGCAGGAGTGAGGAACAGGGGAGCGTTCCCTGGACTCTGCTCTCTAATCTCTCCCTTCTCTTCTCAGTCCCGTGGCACGGAGGACCTGCTCCTTGAGAAGCTGCCATGCCTGGCGTGGGAGTGACACGGTGAGGACCGCTGGGACCTGACACCTTAGTCCATAGTGGCCAGGTCAGAAGGAAGAAGCTAAGGCAGTGCTAACCCCTCCTCTGAGGGTCCCCAGGGGTGGGACAAGCACCTGTGTCTCTCCTTTACGACTTCGGGAGCCAGAGTTTTCTAGGCAGCCCCCTTCTCACGGCTGCACACGTCTGTGCCGTGCTTCACAGGCTACGGTGGTGCTTCCATTGACCATGGCTGTAGTAAGTAAGCACCGTTGCTCCGTCATCCCATCAGCTGAGCTGAGTATTAGTAGCTGTTATTGGCTACAAAAATGAGTTTTGAGGAAGTACAGTGACCTGTCAGATTGCAGAGCCAGGTTTCAAATCCAGGTCTTCTGACCCCACGCCCCTTGCCCTGTTCATGATTCGCCCTGACTCAGACGCAAGGCCTCAGCCCCTGGGGCCGGCACTGACCCCAGGCTCCCCCAGACTCGCCCAGCAGCGCCGCCCTCACCACTGCTCGGTCCTTCCTCTGATCCTGTCTTCTCTTGTCTCTTCCCAGGTCTCGCAGTTCCTGTCTCCTTTCACCCCAGGGCCAGAGTCCTGCTGGCCTAAGTGGGGACATTTGTGCTTGCGTTCTCATTCCTTTACCACCTGTTGTCACCTCTACCATGCTGGGGTCTGGAGGAAATGGACAGGTGGAGGATGGGCCCTACCCAGGGCCTGTGGGACCTCCCTGCAGGCCCCTCGGCCCCCCTCGGCCCTCAGCACTGCCGCCTGCCTGGCAGATGGCACCAGGGAGGACCGGTCGGTACAGCTTCCTCCAAGTGCCCCAGCTATACCTGTGCCTCTGGCTTTCTCAGTTGGCTGATGGTTTTCAGCCTTTCTCTTTCCCTTCTGGCCTTCATGGCAACTAGTGTCTCATGCTGCACGCCCAGGGGCTGTTCCTGGTCTGGTGGTTGAACTTCGTGCACCTCTGGGAACGGGGCCCGTTTGCCTGAGCCGGGCCTCTGAGACCCTGGACCAGCTGTGTCACGTGGCGCCGTGCCTGCACACAAACGTGCCTGCGAAAGCCCCACCTGCCTCGCAAGTTCAGGTGCAGTTCAAGGAGAGGCCTGAAAGGAGCCCGTGTCTGTGCTCAGAGCTCCACAGCGCGTGACAGAGCAGGGAGCCGGGCACGCAAGCACCGCGGACGAGCCCTCAGGTGTCCTACCTTCAGAAGGGATAGAGATTGGGTCCCCCCCACTTTCCAGGTGTTGTGAGGTTGTATGTGGCGTGAACACTTCGCAGTGTTGATTGATTAAATGTAAGACGATTCATCTAACTTTGTGCTCAATCAGCTTCTATCCTTGACTTAGATTCTAGTGGAGAGAAGTGAGAACAGGCAATCACCAAATAAGAAAGAATATTCATGCATTTTATGTATTTCTGTTATTTTGGCAATAAGGCTGGATTTTTTTTTTTCATATAATCTAACTCTCAAAATCCCAGTGTTCCTGGAGATATATTTTGAGAACCATTGGAATAAGTGATGTCAGAAAACTGTCAGCAGCTCTTGGTATTCAAGATCCCCTTCCGTCTGGTCCTGCCCACCTGCCCCCGATGTGCCCTCTGCCCCAGCCAGCTCTGCCTCCTCCTCACCCAGGCACGCGCCAGGCTCTGTCCCTGCAGGGGAGGCCTTCTTCCTCTGCCGTCAATCCTGGCAGGAGTCCCTCCTGCCTGGAACTGTCCCTGACCACTCAGGCCCCAACCAGGCTCCCTTCCCTACCTCCTATGACCTGCCATCACGGCAGAGCCCACCTGTGCCCTGCCCTCCTGCAGCTCCTCAGCAGGTAGCAGGACCTCAGGTAGCACTGGGGCATGACTTCCAGAGAATATCCATTCTGTGCGGAATCCTCGTCCTCCCACTCAGGTGTGAGTCTTGTCTACAGCCTCCTCGGCACAGAGATGGGGGTAGTGAAACTTAGAGGGTTGTTCTGAGCATTGAGGGGGATAATGCGAGTGAAGTGCTTTATCTAGTAAGACAGCGTATGAGAAACATGCTGTAATACTACTCCCACTTTATAATCTCTGATCCCACCTTCTCATCTGGCACTAGACGGACAAGCAGCATCGACACCACGTGACAGGGTTTGTGACTCTTGCCTGCACTGTGCATGGCAGTGTGAGAGTTTGGTCTGTGGAAGCAGTTACCATACAGATGCCTCTTGGTGGGGACAGAGCACGAGAATGTCAGAGCGGGAGGGACATCAGAGGTCAGCCAGCCACCTCACTTTAGGAATGAGAACACGTAGGCCCAGGAAGAGGAAAGTTCTTATGCAAGATCCTTTTGTTTACCAAATACTGACCACCACCGTGAACTGTGCTGGGTGCTACACATAACAGCAACGAACAAAACAAAGGCCCTGCTCTCACACAGCCTTCGTTCTGGGAGAAAGGTAAAAAGAACGTGCAAAATCCCAGAAGGAAATAGAACAGGGTCACGTGGCAGGGAGTTAGGTCAGCTGGTAAAGCAATTCCTGTCTGGAGGAGGTATCTAGGATTGAACCTCGAGAAAGAGGGAGCTAGATTCTTAAGAGGTGAGTGCTGTACAGATCTAATTTGCTGTGGAAATTAAGAACATAGCAAAAGGATTTCTTATTAAAAGAAATGCTGTTGTGAGAATAAGTGGCCCTAATAAATTAACTGAATGCAGTGCAGAATTTTTTCCACAGGACTTTAGGGTTTTGGCTGGAATGGCTGAGTGGACAGTGGTGCTATTTATTGAGATGGGGGAGGTGTGAGTTGGGCAGGGGACAAAATCAGTTCTGTTGTAGCTATGTCACGTTTGAGATAGCTATGCTACCTCCTGTAGGAAGTGTTCGTAGGCTGTTAATTGAATGTGGACCTAGCACTCAGGTCAGGACCGAAAAAATAAATCTGAGAGTCTTTAAAATGATAATTAAAGCCAGGGGCCTGAGGTCCCTTACAGAGAGGCGGTGTCTTTGAAAGCAAGAGAAGAACGTGTTTTAAGGAGGAGCATGCTGTTAAGGGAGGAGTAAAGAGAAGACAGGGAAGTGGCCATTGGATTTGGCCACATGGAGCCCGGCAGGGACTTGTCGGGAAGTTTCAGGGCTGCGAGTGGGCAGAGCCCTGTTGCGGGGCATAGGGGAGAGGCGGGGGTGAGGAGAGCCAGCCTGCTGCGGGATTCCTCGTAGGGGAACCTGAGGAGGCAGAGCAGACAGGCTTTAGTCACAGGAACAACATTCTTGAGGAATCTACAAGGGACGAGATGGCGGCGCAGAGGTATGTGTCGGCATCTGACAGAGAAGCTTCAGCGCTGGGTCTGTGTCATGCGGATCTTGTTTCATGTTTCCCCACACGGAGTGGGGTTCGGTGTTTTGCTGAGGTATTTTAAATACTCCATAATTTCCCTCATATGTATTTTATTACGTATACATTTGTTTATGTTTTCTTTTTTCAATTTTTAATTTGTTTAGACATGGGGTCTTGTTCTGTTGCCCAGGCTGGAGTGCAGTGGCGTCACCATAGTTCACTGTAACCTCGAACTCTTGGGCTCAAGCGACCCTATGCCTAGCCCCAAAAAATCTTAAAAATGTTTTGTAGAGATGGGGTCTCGCTGCATTGCTCAGGCTGGTCTCAAACACCTGGCCCAAGTGATCCTTCCACTTCAGCCTCCCAAAGTGCTAGAATTACAGGCATGAGCCACCACATCGGCCTATTTACATTTTCTTTCATTTCGTTCAATACCGTGTTACAGTTTTCACAATGTAGGCTTTACATTTATTTTGTTAAATTGATTTCCGAAGTATTTTATCCTTTTTTGATTATAAAAAACGTCTAAATGAAATCTCTCGTAACAAACTTTTAAGTGTACAGAACAGTATTTTTAATTATAAGAACATTATTGTACAGCAGACATCTAGAATTTTTTTGTCTTGCATGACTAAAACTCTATGTTCATTGAATAGTAATTCCCCACTTCCCCCTCTTCCTAGCCCCTGGCAACCACCATTTCTTTTCTCCTTTTATGAGCTTGACTACTTTAGCTACCTCATGTAAGTGGAATCATGCGGTATTTGTTCTTCTGTGACTGGCTTATTTCACATAGCATGATGTCCTTAAGGTTCGTCCATGTTGTAACATGGTAGGATTTCCTTCTTTTCTAAGACTGAATAAGATTCCATTTTATGAATGCACCACAATTTCTTTAATTCATTCATCCACCAATGGATATTTAGGTTGTTTCTACCTCCTGACTCTTACGGATAATGCTGCAATGAACATGGGAATGCAAATACCAAGTCAAGATGCTGTTTTTAATTCTTTTGGGTAAATACCCAGAAGTAGGATTGCTGGACCATATGTTAGTTCTATTTTTAATTTTTTGAAGATCCTCAGTACTATTTTCCGTAATAGTTACACCATATTGTAATATGTTCCCACCAACAGTGCACAAGTGTTCTAATTTTTCCACATCCTCACCAGAATTTGTTGTCTTCTGTTTTTTTAGTAATGGCTATACTAACAAGTATGAGTGACAGTTTATTTTACTTGTTCTTTTCCAATCTGGAGGATTTTTCTTTTGTATTCTTGCCTAATTGCCCTGCCTAGAACCTCTAGTACAATGTTGAGCAGAAATAGTGAGAGCAGACATCCTTGCCTTTTTCTTGATCTTGGCGGGAAAGCTTCGTCTTTCAGTGTTAGATGTGATATTAGCTGTGGCTTCCTCGTGAATGTCCTTTATCAGATTGAGGAAGTTTCATTCTATTCTCAGTTTGTTGAGTGTTTTTGACTTGAAGGGATGTTGGATTTTATCAAATGCTTTTTCTGCATCTATTAAAATGATCGTGTGGGTTTTGTCCTTTATTTATATAGTGTATTACATTAATTTTTTTATATGTTGAACCCACCTTGCATTCCTGGCATGAATCTCACTTGTTCGTGGTCTATAATCTTTTTTATCTTTTGCCGGATTTGGTTTGCTAGTATTTTGTTAAGGATTTTTATATCGATATTCATAAGA